CGGGGCTGGTGGCACTCTGCTCGGTCGTACTGGCTCAGGGCACCGACGACGACGACAAATGTGTCTTCAACCCAAACTGGCTGCCTCCATGGAGCCTGTCAGGCCCAGCCGCTGCTTTCTAAACACACGTGAGGGAAGGCGGCCAAGCCACCACCCTCCGAGCTGCCGAGCCAGCCGGCCAGCGCAGGACTGGCTAATGTTGCCACTCAGTGTCAGGAAGGCTTCCTGCCACCTCCCCCACTCACCCAGCAGACCTGTCCTCAGAATGGGGAGCTGCAAGCTTCCCCAGCGTTGCCCGCTATCTAGGCGCAACTGTCAGATCTGCACTCAAACCAAGGCGTCTTTCCTCTCCACGCTGCCGCCTGGTGGTGACAGGGCAGCCCTGGCCCCGAAACCCCAAAGGCTTTTACCAAGATTTCTACAACGGTAACAGCTGCTGCCTTGGGGGCCAGAGCAAACAATGAGTCCTCACACTGATTCCCCGTGAATTTGGTTGTTCTGGAAAGGAATCTAGAAAAATATCAGTAAATTGCTGTCAGAGATGGAGCAGTTCCTAGGGACCAGAAATTAGTTACATCCTTGATAATCCAGTCACCCATCTCTCTCTCTCTCTTACCTGTATGTCAGCCAGCAGCTCCTGCTTCCGTCTCCGGATGTTCTCCAACTCCTGGCGCTCCTCCGGAGTCAGGTCGCTGGGAACTATAAGGAGGGGGGGGGGGGGGGTTGTTAGTAACTGAGCTGGCGCCGCACCCCAACCAGAACTGTTGGGAATCCAGCTCCCAAAGGAGCAGGACACAAGAAATCACGCGAGCCGCTCCAACTAACTAGGTTCACCAGGGAACAAGAGAGACTGCGAGTCACTGAGAAAAGCGCATGCGCACTCACCCTTGGAAGGAACACAGGCCAGTGTGGGGCTGGCTCTGATGGAAGTGGCCCGTGGCTGGGACGGCACTCATGCACCTCTCAGGCTTGGCTCCCTCATCCTTGAGGAAGGACCAGCATGGCCCACTGAGCTCAACTCCATCCTGGGAATCCCAGGAAACCCCAAGAGAGGGGCCCAATGGCTGTGGCATCTCGATGGGGGAAGGAGGGAGCCCTGGGCTGCGATCCACAAGGTCCACAGTTCAAACCCACCACCCCTCCAGGCACTGGGAAGCACGAGCCCTCCGAGGTGGTGGCCCTTCTGAGGGTGCTAGGACACCACTGTGGGCCAAGGGGAAGGACGAGGACTGGACGTGGGCAGACCTGATTTCACACGACCTTGCTACAATCTACCTCATACTTCTTAGGTCACTTGGGGCCCCCTCTGAGCCACACTTTCACTTGCAGTCAAGGGGGTACAAACTCCCACTTCTTGGGACTGCTGGGAGGCTGAAGTGCCTGGACTCTGCCTGGAACCCTGCTAGGCCTTCTCCCAGGCCAAACGGAAAGGCCAGGGAGAGCCACAAGCCACGGGACTATGAAGCTCCCGTCAGGTGTGAAACACATCCACACCTGGGTGCCTACCCAAAAGGACTAAAACGCCGTTACATTTTAGCTACTGACTATACATTGAACCAGGAGCCCTGGTGGATAACGCAGTGGGTAACGCACCGGGCTGCTAACAAAAGCCAGCAGCTCACGGCCATGAGTTAGCAGCTCCCTGGGAGAAAAGATAAGGCCTTGACTCCTGCAGAATCACAGCCTCGGAAACCCACAGGAGCAGGGCTACCCTGTCCTGCAGGGTGGCTGCGAGTCGGCATCACCTCGCTGTCAGGGAGTGAGTGAGAAGCACTGAAGAGGGAGCTCTGGCAGTGCAATGGTTATGCTGAAAGGTCGGTGGTTCAAACCCAGCAACAGGTCTCTTGGAGAGACACCTGGTGATCTGCTCCCATAAAGATGAAAGCCAAGCTTTGGGGGCAGTGAGTGTATCTTAATGAGGAAAGGACAACTCAAAAAGAACAGGTGAGGATGGTGGCCAAGGCTTGGAATGTACTCGCTGGTCCCTAGCAGCAGCAGCACAAACCGAGACAGTAACCATTTGGTGCTCAGAGGCTGACTCACAGAGCTAAAGCTGAGCCTGACGGCAGAGCTGAGTGCCCATGGCGTTCCTCAGTAATGCTAGGAGAGCTCTGGACAGGCCTGCGGGCATGACTGCGAAGAGATGCTCCTCACCAGAGTACCTGTGTCCCAAGCATTTCTGACCCTGAGCCTGATACAGCCGCTTAACCTCCCAATAAACCCCACGATCATGGGTCAGTGGTTCTGTGTGGTCACTGCACTGGACTGCCGAGCCCTGCAAAGCATGCTGTGGGGGGCAGCAGAGGTCACAGGCGTGTCAGACCCCCGTTATCCTGCCCTCAGCCTTGGGCTGCTGTTACGTTTGCTCCCCCATCCCACCCCATGATGTCAAAGGAGGGTAGGATAACCTCGCCACACCATTCTTCAGCCCCCAAACGTCCCAGCAGACCATGTCCTCCCACAAGGGGCCTGTGGTGCCATCGTCAGCAGCCCCGTGCAGTTGGAAGTGCCTTACTGCTGAGCTAATAACTCCATCGACATTATTTGGACAATGACAAATGTCTCTTTTTTACAGCAGGGGCCACCTGGAAACCCAGCACGAGTTCTGCTGCTCAGTTGTCCACTTTGGAGAGAGGCAGGCTTGCAGGAGGTCAATCTGAGTTTCCGAGAAAAAGTTCTAGTCCATGAAGACAAAAAATTGTATCTCGGAGTTTATAGAAGGCAAACAATCATGCCAATATAATTGGTGGACATTTGGGGCAACAACCTACTTCAGAAAGCAACTTTTTCAAACACTAAGGACATGCAACAGATCAGCAAGGGGAACAGAGCAACGAAGTCCCCAAGGAATACCAAAAGTAGACTTTGGGGCCAGGACTTGGCACCCCATCAGA